AACTCACTTTCTGTTTCAACTCATAATAAAGAAAATGTGGCATGTTTACGACCTGTCTGTTTCTCTGTACTTGTAAATGTATAACCAGATTTGCTTTGCAGAGATTTATTTATGAATCAATAAATCTCTGACAACTGCGTTATATAAACAATATAAATGTATTAAAATGAACCTTCAAATCTCTTCATTTACCCTCAGAGGTCTAGGTTCATTGTTGTATATAATTGTAAATGAGCAAGACATACATGTTTTTTTCCCATTCCGGTTTCTCTCCGTTGACAAATCACAGATTTTAATTCTAACCATTGGTTCAATAATCAGCCTTGCTCTTTTACCACAGCAAATGGGAAGAGGCCCTTTATCATTTTATCATTACAATCGGATATTAAGGTTCAAATTTCTCCCCTATCTACATCTCTCCTGAGCCCATTTTTTTAGTTCACTGATTTGAACTAATTGTTCCATCAAATCATCAAATCCTCCTCCTGTTCTCTAAATGTCTTCACCACTTATTATTTTTAATCTGTTTCACATATCATTAAACTCAATATTTGTTTCATTATTAACTTTATCTCTCCACTGATGCTTTACCATCTAGTTTTGTGGCTGCAATTGCATAGCCTCAGATAAAGCTGTCCTCCCTTTGCCTTCATGGGTATTAAATCTCATCAGTACTCTAACAGTGCAGTTTTTGTAAATCACTTTCAATTTTTTTAAGGAAAACATTTACATTTATTTTTAAAAAAATACCAGAAGTGTAAAAATAATCAATGTGGCTTTGTCTCTTTCGCCACAAAACAAAATTAAATAAACCACGGATGTATTAATCCTGCCTGGTTTAGTTAGACGAATGTCCAATTTATTAACAATCATTCAAAAATGGTTGGAGAAACAGTTCTTGCATGTTCTGCTCCAAACATATTTGTGCAAGTTTCACGGTTGAAATTGTACACACATAATCCATGCATGTCTGTTGTAGATGTGGTGTCCCCCAAGGGTCTAATTTAGGTCTTCTTTAATATTCAATTTTCTAGAAGCCGCTGGGCCAAACCTTTCAAAAACACTTGATTTTCATGTATGTGCTGATGGCACACAACTTAATGTTCACCTTACATCTTTTGCAATCTAACTGTAAATATAGCCCAAGTGCTTGTCTGTCTCTTTTACCTCAAGAACTCGATAAAATATTTGGAAATGAAATCCAAATATACCAGCCCTCTCTATCTACTCCTCCACAATGTAAACTTATTTATCCTGTATGGAAAGTATAAGTTAGTCCAAACTTCAGGGCTGTATCTGACTCCAAGATAACATTTAACAAGTGTAATGCATTTCCAAGTATTGTTGGTGGTACCATCATGCTTCATTCAGACGAGAAAAATATCTAAAATGAAATCACTTTGAGCTGCAGATATTAAGTAAGTTTATTTCTCTAAACTGGCCTCTGCCATAAGTCAATCGCTTGCCTCCAGCTCGTCCAAATCATTTAACTTTAAAAAACTCACTTGACTCACTGACACTGTGCGAATTAAAGATTTTGATTACAACTTTTAAGGTGTAATACTTATTGTTGATGTGCTTTTACCCTGAGCCTTAGATTCTCAGGTAAGGATCATTCTGTTGTTTCATCTTGCTTTGTTATTCGAGCTTACGAGCAGCATGGACAGACTGGTCTCAGGTATCTGGGAGTACAAAACTCTGACATCTTCAAGATCCTTCTTTTCAAACTCACTAATTTGAACTATATCTTAGTATTGTTTTCATGTTCTCCATCATCTAATGGTTATGTTCTGATTACACTTTTCAAAATATTATTGAAATCTCATTAATTTAGATTTTTATTCATTACCCAGATGTTTTAAGTGATGTTACTGTATCTCTGTTTACAATAGTGCGGTTTACATAAAGTTAGTATTCAAAGTGTTCAATGGTTCAATTTCATGCCACTGTTTTCTGAAGTGTGTTCCTTTTATTTTGTCCACCTCGATGTTTATCCCCACTGGGGCTGTCAGCGTACAAGCCCCTCCAAACCCTTTTCCTCTCATCCTCGTTAAACCAGCATCTGCTGAAGTAAGAGGCCTGATACCCCCTACCATACATACACACACACACACACACACACACACACTACACACACTTTCCCCCCTCCTTTGCACTGCATTCTCTTGAGCCTGCCATCTGCCACAGAGTTGGACAAGACCCCACTAACACGGCAGCCACACACATACACAAGACCCCACTAACACGACAGCAACACACATACACAAGCCTCACTAACACGGCAGCCACACACATTCACACAAATACACACACACATAGGTTTATACCCTCATTTCAAACCCTTGCAATTGCTGGAAAACAGTTCCAGAACAGATGCACATGAATGCACACAGTACACTCTCACACACACACACACACACACACACAAGCCAAAGTTAGCCAGGCTGCATATTTAATGAGGAGCCCCCCTGTGTGACAAAACAGCTTGCAGGGTCATAATGGTTTAGTGCAGAGCCCCACCCCACTGAATAGAGCCAGTACACTCCTCCCCTCCTCTGTGAAGCAGGGAGGACAGAGGGAGAACAACTAACTCTAATTACTCCTCCGAGGCTCTCTGGCCCCTCCAGCATTTTTATTTCAGGAGTTGAGAGAGAGAAGGAGAAGAGAGAGGAGAGGTGAGAACGCTGCAAACAGAAGAAGGACCCCTGCTGACTGAGCATGAAACATCTCCCTGTGGCTCCCCCTCAGCCTCCTATCTTCTCTTCTTCTGTGCTTGTTGTACATAATGCCCCCCTCACTTTCACTGCAATTGTTCATCACCCCTCAGTCATCCACAGTGAATAATGATGTTTCCTCTTGGAGAGAAAGAGGAAAAAAGGAGCACGCCCAAGGCCATGCATTCTGATAGTCTAAGCATTCCCCAGTCACACTCTGGCTCGGGCAGAATCAACAGTGCAGCACAGAGGAGGGGAGGGGGGGGAGGGGGAGAGGAGGATGCATGCATGAGCCGCATCCTCCTGCATCCATATTCTCTGGGTGTTGTGTTTGTTTGTTGTGTTTCTCTCATTATTTACAATCTGTATCATCCAGAAGTCCTTCTGCATTTCACCCCGCTGAAAAAAAACACAGATGCAGGATGAGAGAGAGGAACAGCGGTCGTCAGAGAAGTTGCCCTCGTCTCTCACCAACAGACTTGGACGAATTAGCGGCATTACATCTGCTCTCTGGGGACAGTCGCTCTTGCCTGCCCCTACCATGATACCATCATCATCACTGTCATCCTGGATGGAGCCCGTGGAGGGCTGAGGCTACTTGAGGAGAGATTCCTCCTCAGAGAAAGTGAAGCTGAAGAGACAGCTGGGCCTGAATCCCGAGTCTTGGGCTATTTCAAAAAGGCTGCTCAGTTCATTGCAGCCAGAGCAAATGAACCCACAAGAAAATAAACATGATGGTGGCTGCACCATCATATTTATTTTCTTGTGGGTTCATTTGCCCTGTTTGTAATTTACCCAGAATAGATCTAAATCTATGGTCTTAACCAGGCATTCAATGATTGACAGGAAGTTAGGGCTGAGGTTATTTGGTAAGATTGCTTAGCTGAGGTCATATCATATCTTGCAGCAAACGTTTTTTTTTGTCATATTCTACAAGCTAATAAAATCCTTAATAACCAGACCATGTGCAGCATTATGGTCCCGCTGTAATAGAACCCATTAAAGGCACATTATCTGGTTCAGTGTGTCTTTCCGTTGCCTGTGCTGATGTAGGATGAAATGGGCCATTCTAATCCTCATTAACATAGCTAATTTCAAATGAGAGAAAGTTGATAGTGGGTGTCAAAAATACTCAAAGGTCACCCAACCAAGCTACAGCATGTACACAGGCGCTGATGTTTATTTCTTGAAAGGCGCTCGTGTAAATGTTTAAACTCTTTAAACATTTGCCAAGTGTTTTGTTTCACTCACTCTAAGTCTTCCTCAAAGGCAGAGCAGTGTCATTGCTGCTGTTGTGTAATGTTTGACGAATAGGCACAGCAGGCAGAGCAGTGCATGCACAAGAAAATGGATAAAGTCATCAAATCCAGCAGATGATTGTTGATCATGCGCACATTAGCTAAAATGGGATAAAACGAGAGACAAAGAGGGGAAAAATGCCAGAAGATAATCAACCTTGTCTCTCCCTTTTCCTAATGCTGTGCAGGCTACCACTGACCTTTGCTTGGAGTGAGGGAACAAACATGTGACATGTTGCTCCTTCAGCAGACTCTATGTCACAAAGCTATGTCACAGGAGGACGAGGGGACGAAGACTGACATTGGAAGCATGACGATGCTGCCACATGACCTTAACAGGGGACAATTAACTGAGCGTCACACTCCTCAGGCCAGCTGTGATTGACTGAAGCTTGTGTATCTGACTGAGCAGAGGGATCACGCACATTTGTGTTCGGTGATAAATCAACAACAAAGACATTCTGAGCTTGTACAGGGCACTGATCTGACTCCATTTGTGGGTACGATGATGTCTTAGGGAACTTTTGAAAGACTTCAAGATGACATAAGACTGTAGTTTCAATATATATTTGATTTTCAAATAAAGTCTGTAAAATGCAGCTGAAACGATGCGACCAAGACATTAAGAAATACATAACCTTCTAACCAAACAAATTCAAGTTTTAACAAGAGAAAAAGATGTTGTTAACCTGAACATGACTATTTTCAGATTTGGTTCTTTGTGTGAAAAAAATCAAATTTCCCAAAGGAATATTTTACAGTGTAGATTATTTTAAATGAAATGTCTTGACACATTGAGGATACCTATTCTATGTGACATAGTGGATGCCTTTAGAACTTCACAAAAACCTGCAGATTTTTCACACAAATTTGCCAGTCTTTCAAAATTCATTATAGCGGTGAGACAGTGAACATCTTCGACAACAGCGGTGGAGGGAAGCCACAAGAAATACGATTTTTTTTCCTTTCGATTTAAGAAAGTACTCACTCAGTCACCCTCCTGCGGGCGGTGATGCTGGCCACAATGACACTCTCTGGTCTCGGGGTGGCCACAGCCTTAAAGGTCCCCTTCCAAAACTTCTCAAAGAGCAGCTTCTCCTCCAGCTGCTGTAGTCCGGCAACACTGCGCTGTGATCCCAGGGCTGGAGGGGGGCCACAGGTGCCAAGCTGGAGTGAACATGGGGGCTGCATCTGTGCTTCTCAGTCTCCAAACCAGACCGGTCGAGGAGTCTCTCATGGAAATACACGAAAACACTCACACTGGTTGTCGCTCAGGAGCTGTCCAAGTACTGAATCAAACGGTGCAAAGTGCAGCAAGTGTTTCGGCATCGGTCCTCTCCTCTCACAGCAGCAGGTCAATGTGTCAGCGCGTCTGCCTGCCCCCGCACTCTTCAGTGGCAGCGTGGGGAGAGGGACAAAAGCTGACCCTCTCCAACTGGAGGCTGGGTATTGTTCTCCCAGATGAAGGAAGGAGGGGTGAGGGAGATTTAGTTTCTTTCCCTCCGCCTCTTCTCTTCTGTCACATCTGCTGCTTTTTGGAACGGAGTCTAGGTCTAGGGCTGGGAGTCGCTCTTTTTCTCCCAGCGTGCTCCCATCGGCAGCTTTTACACAGCCTAAGCAGGCATCGCTCACAAGAACCGGAGCGTGTCTCAGTCCTGAGGAGTGAGAGAACAAGTGGCTTTCTTTTTGCTGGAGTGCAATGTTTTGGTGTAGAGATGATTGGACGCCTACACACACCGGTTCAGGGCAAGTGTTGCTGCGGCGTGTCTGAGGGCAGGCATGAGTGTGGGTTGGAGAGTGTGCGGGTGAAAAGCGAGTAAGGAGCTCAGCTGATGGCAGCTTGTTTTGTGTCTCTCAGGCTGTGACGTCAAAATTGGGGGCTGGACGGAGAAGAGAGGGAGTCCTCCTTTCAACCTCTCTCTCTCGCTCTCTCTCTCTCTCTCTCTCTCTTTCTCTGTGTCTGTGTTATACTTGTCTCTTCCTACAACAGCCATGATTATGTTCACTTCCCCTCCTGACATGTGGCGGAATGTCTCTTTCTTTTCTTTTTCTTTCCTTCTTTTTGTCTTTGTTCTCTGCCTTTTCCTAGCGCACATTTTCCTGATTGAAGCTACACAATTAAAGAAGAAGCTAACTTTGTCCCTTTAGGAAACTTAGATGTATATTTCTGTTACTAGATTCAGACATTTTAAGGCAAAATAATAATAATAAATTGTCAGATGAAGCTACATCAAATTCCTTTATGAAAGCAGATAATCCTCGACTGAGTGAAGTTTACAGTCCTTAAAGGTATTTTTGGTTTTCATACCAATGAAATCCGTCGCTTTTCATGTTTACATTCCTTTTTCTTCATATGTGCATAATATGAGAAAACAGAGAGTAGCAAAAAAAAAGATTTCCATCTCTTCCATTTATCACCATGCTTTTAGAGTGACAGACAGAGCTATCAGCTTCCTGCAGCTTTTTCCAAACCATTACATCTTCCACTGAACCTTTGTGTAATGTGTTATGTTGCTGTTCATTACTGCTCGGAAATGTATTGGCTTTTTTTTTTCGTGTCTGTTATATTGAACCTACTGTCAGCATCACCGTGACTGATGCTGATAGTGAACAAGTCAAATTTTCTCAGGGAGCGAAATGAATGTCATCATCATCCTTAAGCTGTGTGTGATGACAACACATCGCTCCAAAATAACGGCTGCACAGTTATCGAATGTTCAATGATAACTGCAGGAAAAGTTCAATTACAGTACTACTATACCACGAATTGTTGTATAACAATAGTGAGTAAAGGCTTTTCTCAGATTTCTTTTTCCAATAGTCATAGCTGTAGAATGCAAAGCTTCAATTACTTATTCGTTTTTTACAAGTGAATCCCCAAAATAAACTCAGAATTCCAACTAAACGAGCCTTAAGTTTTCACACTCTAGTGGCAGGACTCATACAAATTGATTGACATTGCAATATCTTTATGAAACTGCGATATATTTTGTGATTTAAAAAAATATCATTCTTGATTATTACTAAAGAGTTGAAACCCCAACTTTCTCACCTAGTTCCATCATTAATTGAAAAGTGCTGCATGCTATGGTGAAACACTGTTAAGTTTTGTGATTACTTTCAACCTCCCATTCATTATTAACTCTACTTCTGCAAAATCTTGTAAACTCGGTCAGTCTTTCGTTCTTTCTTCTCCTCTTTGCTCACACACAAACATGATCAGCGTCTTGGACAAAAGGCTGAGGAAATCAGCATAACAAAAGACCCGGCTCAGTGAGGACCAGCCGGAGCATGTGGCTGACACAAACCTCCCCCCTCGAGGGAGTTTAGCTTTCCCCTGCCTCCTACCTCCTACCCTCCCTTCCTCTCCTCTCCAATCTGCTTCAACACGACACATAACACGGAGCAACAGCTCAACAATCTCCACCCCAGTGCTATCTTCTTTTCTTCTTCGCCTGTCTCTAATGCTGCATATCATCGGCAGCTGTAACACACAGGAAATCTTTGGAGGGCTTTTTAGATACTACAGGAAGTACACCACACTACAACTGACTGCCTGTGTAATACCTCACAGGATGGATACTCTTCAAAAGATGTTGGGAATTACATTAAATCTGATATGTGGTCGTCCTCGGTGGAGAACTTTACTTTTATCAGTGTATGCATTCAATTAATATTTTCTTTTTGCAGTTCTTGTCAACTTTCAAACATTTGCTTTGGTAAATATTTTGTGACTACGTCTGATTGATACTTTCTTCAAAACAGAACTGTGTGTTGTACTTGTTTTTACAAATTTGCTATAAAATCTAAATAGCCTTTCAAATGTCATGACAACCCTTGGTTTCCATTGGTTTAAGGATAAGAGTAAAATCCGCCTCCAAAGGCTCAGCCACTTTGAACAGTCAATTGACTTGTGTGCTGAGCAGTTGTGAGCACTAACAACTCTTAATACTGACCTTAATAAGAGCTTTAAGAGACTCATCCAGGAGGTGATTATTGACTGTCAAAAAGCATTGCATATTTGAATATTGAAGATAGATTCATCAATTCATCGATCTATTGAGGACTTTAATTAAGAAACATCATCAGAAGGAAAATTGGTGATGTAAGGACGCTGTCAATTAATAAAAAAACAACTGACGAGAAAGATTAACATATCTGCTTTCCAAGAAAAAAATGATGACATTTTATAAATTAAATGTAATGTGTAAATCAGTGGTTTATCAACTGGTCTTGCCAAAGGACCCACCACCAACTCCTACATGAAAATCGTAACCCAAATTTGTGATATTTTTTTCAACCAATCGGATTTATTGAATGAAAAATAGTGCAGTATGGACCTCAGGTGGTACGAAACGTGACAGAATAAAGAGAAGGAGCAAAACCATCATTTTTTAAGAGCGCTTCATAGACTTTTTGACAGTTTTTTTTACATTCACAAGTTCAAGACCCACTGAAAACGGCTCTGTGACCACCGACCCACCAGTTGAGAACCACTGGCTTAAATCAAACAGCATCTATATACCATAACTAGTTTGCTTCTTTACATCAGGAACCATGAAACCAACAGAGCTAGCACAATAATGAGTCTGTAGAAGGAACACCACACCACAATATTCCAAAGCAGACAAACATTGTCATGTGAACTTGCCCCCCCCCCCCCCCCCCCCCCCGATGGGAAGTTGGAGGCGTGGGCATGAATTAATATCTTTCCTTGCTAATAGGTATGCATAAAGACACAGCTACCTACCTCGTCTGGATTAATAATGAATATATTAACAGATAACATGAAACCTTGATGTATAACAACCGCAGTCACTTAATGATAAGTGGCTGCTTCATCAGTGTGCTTTGCATAAAGATTGGCGAGACGCACTCTTGAATCAAACCAGAGGGCAGAGACGAGCTGCTCCAGCAAAACACAGAATATGTTTCATTTATGGAAGGGAATATTACAAAGACGACTCTGCCGTGAGATGGAGTCAGGGTTATATTGGAGGGTTGTGCCGAGGGCAGTGAGTTGGACTTCCTCCTGCTGAGTGTTTTTATGAAGTGCTTGTGCTGGCACTGGTTTTATATGGAAAGTTGAGCTGAAGGACACAGAGCTGTTGTGGAAGAAGTCATTAAACATTGGAAAAACAATAATTTCATGCTTTAGCCTTGGTGTTTTCATGAAGAGACATGCGAGACAGTAATGGGTTTTGAAGTGTTGGATGGCATCAAATACATACAGTATTCACAACTGAACGCTATTCAACTTCACTGATCCTTTCAATGCCATATCATAAAAGCATAACATAAACATAAACTCAAAAGCTGAATTAATTTCTTATAAACAACGTCTTGCTTTACAAGACACCCAAATAATTGATTGATTCCCAAACTGTGGTAAGTGTAAAAATGGGAGTACATGAGCATTAGCTTGAACTTGAGTAGCACAGAAGGCTTTGCAAAAAGACCCAACAAAAGCATTGCCAAGTAGACCAAGACGCAAAATCATTACCAAAATAAATCGTGTAGGTGATTGTTCCAAGCTGCACTGCTATCATGATGTTTGTTCACTGTTTGCCTTCAAGAAAACTGCAGTCATCAGTTGTAAGTTTAATGGAAATCCACAGCATCAGTCAAAAGAGAAAATGTTGACTCCTCCATTGTCAATTACACAATAATATCAGGAATAAAACTCCTGAAAGATAAAAGTCAGCTCGCTTGTCTGACTTCCTGTCCGGGCTGTCATATTCTGTCCAGCTTGACGTGTGCCTGCAGCGTACTCAGGCGAAAATAGACTCGCTGCGTATTTGAAACGGAGCAGAGCGTGGTGCTGTCGGTGGCTCACGCCGGAGACGGACCGCAGCTCGCCCTGTGTGAACACATTGATTGACGAGAGTGGCAGCTAAGTACAACGTAGTGCGTGGCGCTGACAGACCTCGGCGCGCACGGAGTATGTGTGAATTGGGGGTTTGCCGATAAACGTTAATGTTCAGTCAGTGACAACAGCAGATTTAAAGGTCACACGATATGCACAGAATACACTTTACCGTGTTTTTCTAACACTAATGTGTGTCCCTAGTCTGTCTACACACCCCCCGATAATGAGAAAAGTCCATCCTCTCTGTCTTTTGGCGGCTCCAACTTTCAGAAAATATGTGCTCAAAAAGGCCGTCTGGAGATTTTCCCTTCATGACATCACAAAGGGCAGTAACCACTCCCCCAGGTGGGTGACACATGCTTGTTCTGCCCTCTGAGTCTGCCTTCTCACAGCTCATTTGCATTTAAACGTACAGACACAGAAACAGTCTGTTCTGAGCAGGGCTGAAAAAGAGGGCTTTATAGGCATGATCAAATACAGGATCAGAGTGGATATAACAAGAAACTTCACAGACATGTTTCGGGGAGCTCTCAGACTTATTTAAACTGGTTGAAAAGGAGGATAATATGTACCTTTTAATGTGCAACTGAAATGACTGCAATTCTATTAAAGGCACGCTGTCACTATTATTGTTATATTGTTTATGCTTTGGAAATTAGGTTTTGGTAGATCTTGGAACAAGGTGTGATAATGTCAGAAAATCCTGCTAATTTTTGATATACATATTTTGCATTTTTAAAAGGGAAAAAGTTTCATTGTGAATTCTGTCCGAAACTGTTGTGCATGTGATCATAAAGAGTCTTGAGTACTGTCAGACCTCTGGATTTTTTTATTATTTATAGCCAACACGCAGCCCTAGCTGAGCATGAAGTGCATCCATTCAAAGTTAATCAGAAATTTGATGATTTTTTAAAAAGAAGCCGAGGGAAT